ATCCCCGGCTGGAGATTCTAGTTATAATATCAGGACTTTAACTATATTGTTTAAATAAATAAACAACCTGAATCTATTGTCTCATAAAAAGCATATTAACGATTACGTATAATAATGAAAACCCAATCATTCTGAAATAAATGATTGTAAGTATGTTCCTTATTCTGTACACTTGGAATATAATGTAAGTTATACTCACGGGTTTAGTTTTGAACCAAATCTTGAATTATCAAAAATGGTGTAACTTTGTCTACTCTACTAGTAAGGTAGTATTCTTGAATCATAAATTATACCTATTATAATTTATATGTACGTTCTGTATTGATACTAACTGTTCATGAATGCAACCCCTTGCTCGACAAGTTACAAAGGGTATTGAAACTGAATGGAACAACTTTTATATTTATATACATATACAAATATATATATATATATAACTAAAATTTAAACAACATTCGGAAAAATAACCTTGCTATAACCCCACATCCAAACAAGGAAAAGGAATCAAAGCGAATTATTAGTCCTAAGCCCTTTAAATCTTATTTATATAAAATATATATATATATATATATATATATATATATATATATATAAATATATATATATATATAAATATAATTTTTGGGGAAAAATATAAGTTTATAAAACATTTTAAAGAGTTTAACATTTTGAAATACTTTTGATGACTTGATGTCATTTTAACACAATTTGAAACCATTTGATTTGAATATAATTAAAATCCATTTTGTGAAATCTTTTGAAACCATTTGTTAGTAACACAAAATCCTTGTGTTAGACTTGTATCCCCCCCCCCCCCCCCTGAAAACTGTAAAATCTATGAAAATACGGGGTATGAACTCACCTCGTATATGAGCTCCTGGTTGGTTTCGATATGGTTGCGATGATTCCCGGTATAGAATACGTGTGATTAACTGTATCCTGATTATATTTTTCACATAATTGTATCCCTAAATTAGTTAACTAGTAATATAACAAGGAAACTAATATTTGTTCAAAGGGATTACTTACAAATAGTGAAGGAATTATGGAAGCAGATACGAAGTTTGAAGTTTAACTGGATGTGGTTGATACTTGAGAGTATATGATAGGAAATAAGGTTTGCAATTTGAGAGGAAATGAGGGTGTTTACGCTTGTTGATTGTACAAATGAATTCATTTGTGCCTTAAGTTTGAAGTATACTCCTAAGGCGGTGAATGAAATTTTTACGGTGTTATCACATTGGGAATCAAACTTTGGATAAAATTATGAAGTGTTTACGGCCAAAAGATCATATGGAAAAGAGTTCAAGGCCAAAGGATCACATAGAAAAGAGTTCACGGTCAAAGGTGATTCTAGAAGTATGTTCACGGATTGCTTTTGACCTTAAAATGGAGTTCACGGTTTGCTTGTTAAAGAGTGTTCACGGTTTGGACTCAACCGTGAACACATTTTTAAATCATTAAATGGACCGTGAATAAGCATTCTTGATTTTTCTTGGACCGTAAACTCTATGTGTGTGTCATTTTGTGATTAAATCTTTAACTCCCTTGACTTGTCTTGACTTATATTGAGTATAAAATGTATAATTTCAATATAAGTGTTCATCACTTATATATAAGTATGATTTACAAGGTATGTATATAAAATAACTTGTATAAACAAGTCCTTAAGGTATTCAAGTTCCTATTGTATAAATGCCATGATATGGATTTACTTAGCATACGATTGTAGCTTAGGCTTTTGTTCGAATAAGTTCAACTTACATTGATTTGAAATTACGGATTGTTACAAGATGGGTAAGTGTAACTGAAAGCTTTATCATGCCCATCTTCTATCTATTTGAATTACACTTACCCATTTGTTCGAACAAGCCATGGACTATGTAAAGCTTTATCATTTCCATCTTTTATCTATTTGGTTTATTATCTTAATTTTATGAGTTGATTTCTATGATTTGGATATTAATAGTTGCTTAATTTATCATGTTTTTTTATCAAAGATCCTTACGCGTTTGATTTTTTTATCTCTATGACTTATTGTTGAGTTTACATATTTTAGATGACCATTGTGATTGTGTTTGCTTGAATCATCATTGTTTAGATGACCATTATCTTAATAAGTTCTTTTTTTTAAAGAACCAAACAAATAGATAAAAGATGGACATGATAAAGCTTTCAGTTACACTTACACATCTGTTTGAACAAGCCCTGAACTTTTTCTCTGGACGATCCTCCGTTCTAGATGTCCAAATCCGAGAAGGGTGTCCACATCCACAAGGGTTTGCATCGTAAAATATCTTCTTTGTAGATCTTGAGTTGGACATTAACGACTGAGAGGAAGAAGAAGAAGTAGTCATTACAAGAGATCGAACACAGACGTCATTCATTTTTCTCTTCTCCAAGCCCTAAATCGACATATAAAGGGAAATTTTAATCTGTTTATTCCATGTCATTAAATATAATGTCATGTCATTTGCCAAATAGTTGTATACCTAATGAATCTAGTTGCCTCTAATGAGAATTAAACAAAAGGGTAAGTTCGTTTGGTTTTTTAGACAAAATATTAAGTTCGTTGGGTTTTTTTAAACAGATAAAACATGATTGAGGTTTTTTGAACGGTTTCGAAACTTCGTTTGTCATACAGGTCATTTTCCTGATATTTAATTCCACGTCATAATCCATGTCATTTATTGACTATCATTAGTCGGTTGACACTAATGAGAATTAAACAAAATTGTAAGTTAGTTAGGCTTGTTTAGACAAATGGTTAATGTAACATCCGGTTTCGAATCATTCATTATTCGAGGTCATGGCCCAATTCTTGGTTATCATAAGGCTTAGGGCCTTGGGAATGAATGGAATTGACCATTTTTTGTTATGGGTGTTATAGATTAAGTAACACGAGTGTTCGTTTGTGTTTCAGAGCCCAAGGGCATCATCGTAATTTGGTAGCTTGGTTCTTTATGAATTTTGGGTTTTTATTTGGGAAGTTTTATCGCAAGGGCGGGTTGACAGAAGTATAGGGTTTCTTGTCACCTTTCTATAGATATAAAGTTCGTTGGAAACGAACCTAAGATGAGTAAGTTATGGATGTTTGAATTAATGGAAGAAATGGTCCTTAGTTGAGAAGGGTTGCAAGATTGGTCCCATGCATGCGTAGTATGTGATGTGCGTGTCTGGGTGGGTACGCCCAGCGTAACTGGCAGAGTGACAAACCCTAACTTTTAGGGCTTGTGCACTAGTTAAACATCCTTATAAGCTTAAGGATCTCTCATTTCTCAGCCCCCACTGACTTTTTAGCCTCATTTCAAACCCTAATTCCCTTAGTGGTGTATTCTTGAGCTTGGAAGTAATTTTTAAAGGTTCTTGGTGTATTTCAAGGAAGTGATTATTGGTGTGGCTTTGGGGTTGTAGATCCAAAACCTTCATTCTCTTGGGAAGCTTCAGGAGGTATAAAGTTCTTATCTTGACTCCTTCTTATGCTATTTTGAGTTTAGGGCAAGGTTAGGAGCTTTTATGGTGTATTAAGTTCTCCTTGTAAGTTTGAACCACTCTAGAAGTTTGGAGTGCTAGATCTTGTCCCTTCTGATGTTGTTAGTTCATAAAAATGGTATCTTGATTGTGGACATTGGACCATGCATGAGTTTAAGCCCTTGCAATGGGACTTGTTGGACAAAATCGGATTTTGGGTTCCATTAAGAGGTACAAACTAGTAAAGTTGCCAATTTTACGAGTTAAGGACTTAATTTGAAGGTTTCCTGAAGTTTGGGGGCTAAGTGCTTAATGGGTTAAGTCAGAATTGAGTTTCTAAGTAGGATGCTATCACGCCGCGCGTAATATGTAGTATGCCCCGCGTATTGGCTTTTGCACCCGTCCCAAATCGTTGAGCGTACACCAAGCGTACGCGACCAGTATGCAGATTTGAGTTTCGGACTTCTTGGACCTTTTGGACTTTGGAATTTTGGCCTTGGGCTTGGATCGAGTTTTTGGGCTTATTTCTTCGATGTGGGGATTTCTATTCAAGGGTTGTAATTATTTATTGGGCTTGCCTTGTTGGGCCTAGGATTGGGTTTTGGACCTTAGTGGGCCCAATGGGCTTGGGCCATTTTTAGGCTTGATTAGTTGGACCGTTTTTGGACCTAGTGTTTGGGGTATGGTCCTGGTTATTTATTAAGGTATGGTTTGGTTGTTTGATTCAGTTCGTGGAGCCGGTTCGCAGCAGCTGCAGCAGTTGTGAGATTTGTCTGTCGATTGAAGTGAGTTTCCTCACTGTTCTATGGGTCCAAGGCACCAATGCCATCCCATTTGGTTTATGTATTATAGGAAGACCAGGGGGTGGTCCTTGGCATTTTGTATGAAAGACCAGGAGGAGGCTCCTATCAATCTTTATGCAAGACCATAGTTTGAACTCTGGCAGTTAAGTAGATCAGTAGATCTAGATTGTATGCTAGTTGTATTTGTGATGCTTAAATGGAAGACCATGAGGTGGCTCCTTGCAATTGTCTGTAAGACCCAGAGTTTTGGCCCCCGTCTTGACAAGGAAAGACCATGATACGGCTCGTAACATAATGGCAAGACTATGGTCGGCACATAGCACCTCCTATTGTATGCATGATATGTGTGGCTCGTATGTTATGTTTGGTATGTAGTTTTGGGGAACTCACTAAGATTTGTACTTACAGTTTGTGGTTTATGGTTTTAGATACTTCCGATTCGAAAGGAAGGGTCCGGCTTGATCACAGTGCATACACCCGTGTTTTCCGCAATTCGTGATTTTGGGAATGAACTCTGATAATTGTTTTTATTTTGAAATACTTCTAAATATTTGAATAAATGATAAATGAGTGTTTTGATTATGTTTTAAAAATGAAATTTTTACCTTCGTATTTTGGGATGTTACAGTTAAGTTCATTGGGGTTTTTTTTAACAGACAAAACATAATTGGGGGTTTCTGAATAGTTTGAAAACTTCGTTGGATTTATAAGTCATTTTCCCACAGAATGTGTATTAGAGTAACTTGTGGTTACTTGATTTTGTTGGGTGAGGAAACCAACGACTTTTGGCTTGTGAATCTTATCACAAGGCATGAACTTCATTTCCCTAATGTCCCCGATGAATTCTTTTGTTGCCTTGGAGATGTCAGGGTTATCCTTGTCTTTTCACCTTCAATACTTGGGTGGGTGTTTGTTGTGATAAATATATACACTATTAAAATATGGTTTTCACTAGCGGGTAAACAAGAATGGACTCATGTCTCCTCCCCTTTTTACATTCATGATTTACATGTTTTCAAGGGGAAGATATATACCATAAACTCTATTCTTCTATCGTATCAAGTGAGGCTATGTGAAATGAGACTCTATCCAGAACCTAGATTGGTGGTACTCGAGACCGAGAGTCTTCCAAAACCAAATTTTAGACTTCCTGAGTTTGTCAGTTGTGGTGAAAAACTTTATGTGATAAATCGGGTTTCAAAACATCCTTACAAGATTCATGAACTAGATTTTGATGAAATGAAATTGGTGTCACGTAAAAAGACAGGACAAGAATATACATTCTTTCTTAGGGACTGGAAGTATCATAATCCTGATGTTATGCAAGAGTTGTGGGTTGACGTTAGCTCACAGTACGGGAGATATGTTGTCACTGATCAATGTGGAAAAGGCAAGTTCTTTCATGCAAGCATGTGGTATTTCTTCCATGATTTTTTAATGTTAATCTCCAACATGAGTGATGACTTGTTAGCACGTTTATCTTAAAACAACATTGTAAAGGCTTTTGAGGAATCACCATTGGAATTATTTTTTATGTAGTTTGGTTTTCAATCACCCTTTTCTGCTTCAGGTGGATGCACCACTTATATATTCTATCTCATTTCCATTTATGCCTATTGTATTATGTTGTTGAAAATTGGCATGATGTTGTATTGTGAATGACGGACCTTTAGTTGGTCTTTTGGTTTTCCCACAATGATTTTTCTTTCGCGACAACTAGATGAGATATTGTATGAATCCCCATCATAATTAAGAGTATGGAAATTCTAAGGACATCCAATAGTATATCAGGAATCAAATCCAAAATGTGTGCACGTTATTTTGATGTCATTATCTGTATAGCAGCACTTGTTACTTGGTCTACAGTCTTGTTTATCAAACAAATTCTAACCCTTAAAAAGGACATCTGGTTCAATCATCCTGCAGAACATAGAACAGGAAGGAAAAGACAGTATGCTTTTTTGCCTGCTATTCTAATCAACAAACCCGGATTTATGTTCTTGTGATGTAATTTGTAGCTGAGTGAAAAGAAGAATATGTTTAGCTTTCCATACAAACAAACAAATTCACCCACTGGACTTCATGTGCCCAGTTACCTCTTATTTCTAACTGACTTCGAGTTTGTTTATAAAAATTCCATACAACTAGTTGTATGTTATATAAGAAGATTTATCGTTTTTAATACACCTATATAGAATGTAATTTCACTTCATTCAACAACCGGACGCCCCCTGCTCTTTGTGAATTTTACCTTAGACAAAAAAGTGTATTTGTTGGCTTTTTTAATTCTTAGTAATGATTTTTTCCTATAATTTTCATGTTGAGGCTTTTGCGCTAGACTTAAATTAGTTCGAACCGACCCTAAATTAACATCAAGGATTAGATATTCAATCATCCACACTACCATGTAAATGCAACGATAAGATTAGGGTTGATTCAAATTTTGACAGTTTAATTTGGGATCACGATGATAATAATGATGTAGATACTAAAATGGACAAGGCGTGCATTGGGTCGGTTTTTGGGGTGACGAAATCGTCATGAGTTCTACTGATTTATAGTTATTTCTTAAACAACCGTGTTCCTGATTTTACAGTTTCAATCAAGTAAATTATTCATCAAGTTTGTTTGTCTTTGGACAAATGTAAATTATTCAACAACCGTGTTCCTGATTTTACAGTTTCAATCAACCGTGTTCTTTGGACAAATGTAATTTACTCCAACTTTCAAGAACCCTGAACGGTCGTTTGGTTCGTTAAAATCCAAGGGATTTCATGGATTTTGGAATTCAATTCCGTTAAATTCTTATTATTTGGTTGAAAATTTGTATGGAATTGAATTTGATAAAAATACCTCATGTGGTTAATTTCAAAATACCCCATATGAATTTCATAAAAAATTTAGAAATTTGGTTGAACTGATGGTCGAACGAGAAAACAATCATCAAACCAATTCAACTAAAAAATTAGTTTTTAAAATATTGCATTTTCCATAATATTAAATTAGGAAAACACCACTCACACCACTCTCTTCTAAGACCATTTTCAATGGGATTTGAATGGAGGGTTCAATCCCCATTTAACTCATCAATCACATTGTGGATTGATGACATTACATTCAATAGAATGGAGAGTTTAATCCACATTCAATTCTCTCTCTCGCTCTCTCTCTCTCTCATAATTATTTTATTTTATATATAATAATTTAATTCATTTGTATTTAATAGCTGAATTTATTAAATTAATTAAAATAATATATTTTGTAAGTAAATAACATTTTTCAGAATTTCTTTTATCATCTAAAACAATAAAATGATAAATATATAAAACATTTTAGTACTTCAATACAACCAAGTTTTATGTATTATTATTATTTATAAAATGATAAATATATAAAAATTAGTATAGTTAGTGTAATTACCATGTAGCAATACATTGAAGATGGCCTAAATTAAAGTATACGAATTAACCATTGCCCTAGGGTAAATTTCATCGTTATAAAACTTAAATTGTTATTATAGTGTCGTTCATGCAATAGTTGATGTTATTATAGTGGTTGTGTACTTATTCACTCATGTTAGTTATGTTTTATGCGATTTGAATAAGCAGATATGCCTTTGAATTTTTCCTAGGACCACGTCCCCTATATTAGCAGAATATCTTGGCGATCTAACCTTGACCATTTGTCTTGCATGTGGTGCATGAGTCTGATCATTGGGCTTCATGCTTTTTAAGGACAACAATATGAGAATATACGATGTCAACTTAAAGACAACAATCTTGCTAAAAAAACCACAACCCATTTCTAAGGATTGAACACTTACAAGAAAAAAGTTTGGCAAAATACAACAAAAAAAAAAAAAAAAAACCCAAAGGAAACCAACCCTCTTGCTAAATTGAGTTTACACAAAGCTACAAACAAAGATTTGCTTTTATTATATTTTCAAAGACTACTGAAATAAGTTTAAGGGTGTGATATATCTTTTCCAAAAAGTTGTCTAATTCCTTGTGTTGGATCTTTCTGCTTCACAATTGACTCCCCCACCAATATCTGCATAAATTAAATATCACACTCATTATAATATTAATATATAAGTCAAATAGTATCTATTAAAGAGCCACTTACCGCTTTTACACCAGCTTCTTGTACATAGGCGATATCAGCAGGTGTGAACAATCCACTCTCCCCCACCACCTAACAATTTATGAGTATTATAAAAAACAATTTCACCATAAATAAAAATTAACTTTTTGTGTTTCACTTACTATTATATCTTTCTGCCGAATCTTTTCCCCACGTTCGCCTTCAAGCAACCTCTTTGTGTTACTAATATCAACTTTGAATGTTTCTGCTCAAAAAAAGTATAATATCATTGTATTAATAGTAATTAAAATGCATTAATAAACTTATTTATATAAACAGAAAACATACCAAGGTTACGATTGTTGATACCAATGAGTTCAATTCCATCAATTGTCAACATGCGATCCATTTCAATCTCATCATGTACCTAACAACAAAAATAGTTTTTTTTACAACTCTCAACTTTATTAAAAAAAATATATGTGTGTGCAATAGTGACATATTGATTAAAAATATAAGTATGTTGCTATTTGTTACATATTGAGTAAAGAAAAATAAATATGTTGCTATTTGAGTAAAGAATTGTAAAGGTTTATATATTGTTAAAATTCTTTAAATTTTCAATTACATTGAAAAAATGAAGTAAAAGCTTCAATCTAACCTCAACAAGAGCTGTGAGTCCAATCATTTTGCATATTTGGATCATATATTTAATATCAAGATCTGGTAAAACAGCTGCAATCAACAAAACAGCATCTGCACCTTTTGTTCTAGCATAGTAAAGTTGCCATGCATCCACAATGAATTCTTTGCACAAAAGAGGACACTGCATGCATTTTTACTACCATTAAATTCTTGCTAAACTTTAGCAAAAACATAAATAAAGATTAATGAAAAAAAATGTACCTGAACACCAGCATTCCTTATTGCCTCTAGATTCTCAAAGCTTCCCTATTGTGATATTAAAGGAATCATAATATAAATTATAATAACAACATGAATATATATATATATATATATATATATATATATATATATATATATATATATATATGTTAAATCAAAATTTTATATATCTACCTGAAAATATTTTGAATCGGTTAAGACACTAAGGCATGCTGCTCCACCTTTCTCATAAGCTTTTGCAACTTCAACCTGTCATGAGATTAATCTTTAAATAACTAATAGATAGATAAATGTTTCAAGAACAGCTATTAACAATGGAGGCTTAATAACTGCAAGTTTATTAAAAATCTAACTTTCACTTAATGGTTCAACCATAGAAGAGTTTGTTTAGATAAATAGTTAATAGTCTGAATCAAACTTTATAACACAATTATGACAACTTAGCAAATTCTAAAGTCAAGGTCATACAGATGAATTTGCTATGTAATAGTTAATTACACAATAAATAATACAATGTACAATGAGATCCCTAAATATTTGTTATAAATTGATAAACAAAACTATTTGAAATATGACAGCGAGCTTTGGATGGAGGGAAATGTAAAGGAGAAACGAATTTGAGCAAATTTGTAAGAGTTTAAAGAGTAATGAAGACACCTCCTTTTGATTTTCTCTACAGGGATTTACAAGGATTTAAGAATTTCTAAGTGAAGAGACAACTTACTGGATCAAAATCCTCCCTTAAAACTCCTCTACTTGGTGAAGCCTTTTTCACTTCAGCAATTAAACCAGGAAAACCTGTTCGTTGATATGAAGCCTTCAGAGCTCCTATAAAGTCTCTGGGAGGATGAACACTTTCAAGAGCTTTCTTCAGTGAATATATTGTATGTTTCTCTTTCATCTGAAAAAAGAAAACGAACTTTATTATCACGGAGAATTTAAGAGTACCTAAACACAATCTTAATTATCTATGAAACCACTAATCACGGACCTGAGTAACCTCTACATCTTTGTTCCATACAATTTCCTCTAGTATATTACGAGGCGAACTTCCTTCATTCTGTAAACGGAACTCAAAAGCACCAACATAATGCAAAGGAGGATTTGTTGGTGGTCGTCTTCTTATCCGAATGCCCTGTGTAGCAGCTAATTCGTCTTTTAAAGCCCCAATTTCCCACTCTTTAATTTTGAGTTCATCGAGTATCGATTCACTCGACGGATCGACAATTGAAGACCCGACCAGCGTCCCAGACTACAACATTTGTCAAAATGTATAAAAACCTCGTTGATCTCGTCGGATTTATATATTATTAGACAAACAAATGGTGAGTAGAGCAAACCTTTAGTTGATTCATCGATCGCGATCGAACACATGAATTAGTAGTTCTGCGACCATCGATTGGAGCTGACGGAAATGAAATCAATTTACGGAAATTAGATCTAGAGCTAGGGTTCTGTGTGTAGCTGCTGTTAAGCAATGAATGAAAATCGAACCA